CAACAGATGACTTGGAAGCGACGCATGAAGAAATGCACAGAACGATTAGGTAGAATCGGTGTCTCCCGTCTTCCGGGTTGGGGTCCGAAAGACTCTACAACTAGTTGGCTGGAGACATTACAGAATATGGCGACTGACCGACAGCAGTGGCGCTCTTGTTGTCATTTCTTAACAAGACAGAATGCTTGAAAAAGCTATGCATGCACACTTAGATGGTGTACTCTGTCTTTTGAACATAGAGGTTATTTTTCTTTGCCTCCCTCCAAGTAGGCCCAATCCCTCTCCATTTTATGCTTTATCACTTGATTTGTATACATTGTGAGCTTGGCAGCGATCAGTGAAGTTCGCTTCACTGCATCTCGCTGTACCATGATGACAGGAGTATAGCACGTTATGCGGAAATATTTAATCTGTACGAGATGCGTCAAATGGTTTGATGATGCGGGCACATCGTTTAAACCCTTTTCCAATCAACATGTGGTGTAGCATGCGACTTCCACACCTCACTTCCTAATCAAGCTTTGCAACATAAAATAAAATGTTTCAACATTCGTAGGCCTCGGAATATCCCAGTACTTTTTCATCTGACTCGTCTACAATGATGGTATGACTAAAGTTTGTGCGTCGAGGCTAAATGATTGAGGGTCGTGGCTAAAGCTTGATGGGAAAAGGTGTAGACAATATTTCATTCTTGCTTCCAAGTGAAATAAGTTTTTGTTAACAACAATAGTCCTACTGTTTATAAAGTTGTCAGTGCTGTGTGCCTTCCCCTTTTTCCAGTATTTCGTCCAAGGGACCGGTTCACGCGTTCGTTGTACTGTTCTCACCGAAACGTACAACTCAAGCACCGTTTTGATCTCCGATGCATGACTCACGGAGCTTCAGGCTATACGTGGTCAGCTGCTGTTACCTTTCCTCGGGAGCTTTTTCTTGTATCCAATATGTTTGTGACCGCTTTTTGGTTGTTTTCGCTCCAAATGTTGTACCACGCTGTGATCGAAACCTATTTACAACGGTCTTCTCATCTTGTATAGTATCATTGATCTCACGAAAGACATCACTACGAGATTTATCGTTACCAGGATACCTCTGCTATCGCGCCATGATTGACAGTTTCCTGTGGTGACTTGCTTATATGTCTTTGTTCTCTCAGGTCATCAGGAGTGACGTGAGCATGACGGTAGTTTACACTACTCTATCAACCGCTGAATCACCACGGTTGCCAGTTGCTGTGCCGAAGTGCAAACTCAATGTATCCATCGCACTCGATTTAAAACTGATTTGGATATACCGAGTCCATAGACGATACAGTACTTGTTTCGCGGTGAAACTTTTGTTCTCATTAAAAGTAACGCTAATTCGATCAAATTTCGTATTTCGGCTTCCTATTCGGTTGTTGTCTAAGTTCTTAAAAATTATTATGATCTTGCATGTGGGAGGGGGGAGATAACCGAAGAATCTCGGGATATCCAATACTTTTGTCGCGGTGTGTGATGTAATTATTATCTCAATGGCTAAGAAAATTGCCCCGGAAGCACCCGCACGGTTTCACAGTAATTGTCGCTCTTCAAGCATCATCATTCAATAGTCTCTCACTTAGTCTTCTATATACTTGAATCCCGGATATATATACACCTTTCGGCAATTGTCAATAGTTTAATTAATCGAATCATTTGTAATTTCTTCTCCCTTTATAACCTATTGTTTTTTCAACAAGGGTTGGAACCATGAAAGCGTATTCGTTGTGTGAATACGCTTCTCGTGTCCGTATAGACAAGCTGAATATTTTAAACCCACGATGTGATATTCAAAACCCTTTCCCCCGATGCAGAAGAGACTCTAGACTGAAAATTCCTAGTATTCTGCAGGAGGCAATTAGCACTCCAATGAAACAAACCGCGCTCCCTCTGAATCGGACACTGACACGCGTTTATCCCATATTTTTCGCCTTGTGCCAGTCAGCGCTCTGCTCGGTATGTTTTTGTTTCAGCAGTTTACTTATTTCGTGTATTTACCTTCTTTAATTAAGAAAATACACTCGAGATTTTCATGGTTACTCAGTTACAATCTTATGCCATGTTGTTGATTGCATTCCAGCTTGTCTCGCTA